GTGTGAGACCATCAGAGAAAGTTGAACACAGACGAAATCCTTCATAAGAAATAATTGATACATTTGAGGCATGACAATAGCCACTGTCTTTGTTTTTAAAGTATCTACTTTAAAATATAGAGTATAGACTATCAATAAAATATTGAACACATAATTAGAAAAGTAAACCTGCCTCGTTAAATTATGTAAGTTTCCCTAAACCTATTAAGGATGCTTTTTCTGGTTTGAGTTATGGTGTGGCTGGCTGGGCCTGGGAACGGGCCAGTCAGAGTGTCAGGCTCTGATTGGCAGGTTGGGATATGGGGCATGGCCAAGCCCAGACACAAGGCCATGACTCACTGTATCCCACTGCCTTTCCATGTTTCTGATCACTCCCGGGAGGGGCTGTCTGATAGGAAAAGGCTTCCCTGTGAGCGGCTAGCAGCGGTTCTCAACCTGTAGGTCGCGACCCCTGAAAATACATCCTGCATATCAGATATTTACATTACGATTCACAGCAGTAGCAAAATTACAGTTATGAAGTAGCAATGAAAATAATTTTATGGTTGGGGATCACCACAACATGAGGAACTGTATTAAAGGGTCACAGCATTAGGAAGGTTGAGAACCATTGGATTGGGTATATAGCTGCTCTAACCCAACAATGTGTGCCTGCCTAATTCTAGAATGCTTTAGAGCAGTGGTTCTCAACCATGGCTGCACATTAGAATCACCTAGGGATCTTTTTAAAATCCTGATTTCTGGGCCTCATCCTCCGGAAATTCTGTTTCTTTGTTATGGGGTGGGGCCACAACATTAGTAACAAAGAAACAGAATTTCCGGAGGATGAGGCCCAGAAGTCAGGATTTTAAAAAGTTCCCAGGTGATTCTAATGTGTAGCCAAGGTTGAGAACCACTGCTTTAGAGTTTTAGGAGTAATGTTATTTCTCCTCATGAAGTAATGTTATTTCTCCTCCAGTTCTGAAATGGCACGTATTACTCTTGTATCATGACAATATGTCATGAAAATAGTTACTAAACAGCCCTCGATCCCACTTAGTCGCCATGGCTCGCAGCACCTGATTGCCAGCTTTTGTATGGAGCACCTGCCGCTGTCTTTATTGATTGGTGCTGCTATTTTTACATTAAGAAGTATAAAGTCACAGGTACTTACCAACTTTTGATCATCTACATATTTTATCTGATGTCAGGAGCAAATGATGAAGCGTAATTGATTTGTGACTGCTGTTTCCTTGATCTTGATCAATGATGATTTGAACCTCGGTCTCACATGGGTTCATTTAGGATCCTGTGAAAAGTTCTCTTTCTGGGAGGACTAAAGAGATTCATTTTGATATGGGAGCCATGCAGCCAGATCTCTGTAAGGAGAGAAACATTAATGACGATTCTCTATCCGCACCATCATTTTTGTGTCTCAATTTATTCCTTGGAAAAAGAGGGTAAAAATTAGTTCCGAAATTCTTTTTATTTTTTAATCCTCATCTGAGGACGTAGTTTTAGCGATAAAGGAAGGGAAAGAGAAGGAGAAAGGAAAAACATCGATGTGAGAGAAACATCAATTGGTTGCCCCAACTGGCGATCAAACCCACAACCTAGATATGTGCCCTGACCGAGAATTGAATCCCCAACCTTTTGGTGGATGGGACAACGCTCCATCCAATCAACTGAGCCACCCGGCCAGGGCCAGAAATTCTCTCAATGAGAAAATAATTGTAAAAATTTTCATTGTTGGTAAGTGTTTTGAAGCCTTTAGGCTTTGGCCTATATATTTGACACGCACGATAATCTCTGATTCTTAAACCAGAAAAGAGAAATTTGAGGGCAAGAGAGAGACTGGGGTGCCGGCCAGAAGAGGGAGGGAAGTCCTGGGCAATGAAGGCTTTCCCTGCACAAGGTTGTAAACCCTTACTTTGTGGTGCTCATGATCTAATGGAGAGGAGAGATGGAAAATAAACAAGTAAAGATTAATTTCAGGAAGTGACAAGTGGCATGAAGAATCAATAACCAGGGTGCATAGATTTCCTAGGGCCTCTGTCACAAAGCGCCACAAACCAGGTGGCTTAAGACAACAGAAGCTCATTCCCTCCCAGTGCTGGAGGATAGAAGTCTGAAATGAAGGGTCGGCAGGGCCATGCTCCCTCGGACACTCTGGATAGTACCCTTCCCGGCTCGTCCAGCTTCTGCAGGTGGCCAGCACTCCTTGGCTTTTAGCTGGATCACTCCAGTGTCTACCTCTGTGGTCACTTGGCCATCTTCAACCTGTATGTTTCTGGTCATGTGTGTGTGTGTGTGTGTGTGTGTCTTATAAGGACACCAGCATATTGGATTAGAGTTCACCCTAATGAGCTAATCATAACTCAATGATATCTGCAAAGATCCTATCTATACTTATAAAAGGGTAATATGCTAAGTAGACCAGGAGACCTTCCGGATGTCCTTCTGGACAAAGGCTTGGTGGCAGGGTCAAGGCAGAGGCGATTAGGCGTGATCAGGCCAGGAGGGGAGGGCAGTTGGGGGTAATCAGGCCGGCAGGGGTCGGGGGCAGTTGGGGGAGAGCAGCCCGCCGGCGGGGGGGGGCAGTTGGGGGCAAGAAGGCCAGCAGGGAGGGGCAGTTGGGGGCGAGCAGGCTGGTAGCCAGAGTGATTAGGGGCGATCGGGCAGGCAGGCAGGTGAGTGGTTAGGAGCCAGCTGTCCCGGATTGCGGGAGGGATGTCCGATTGCTGGTTTAGGCCCGATTTCTGTGGATCCTGTGGGATCGGGCCTAAACCGGCAGTCAGACATCCCCCAAGGGATCCCAGATTGGAGAGGGTGCAGGCTGGGCTGAGGGAGAACCCCCGCCGCCCCGTGCACAAATTTTGTGCACTGGGCCTCTAGTTTTCAAATAAGGTCTCATTCACTAGCACCAGTGATTCGGACTTCAGTGTGTCATTTCAGGAACACAATTCACCCCGAAACACAGAGTAAACAGATGGAGAGGGCTGCGGATGAAGTGAGAGTGTGGTTGGGAGAGGAGAGGCAGAGGCCTGCCTGGTGGAGGAAGCAAATGCTGCAGGTGTGAGAAAGGAGGCAGGCCCAGCAGCTTCCCAGTGGCCAGTGTGGCTCAAGCACCATGAGGTCTGAGACAGGACATGGCAAAGCCTTGCAGGGCTCAGGAAGACGCGGGGCTTGACTCTAAAGTAGATGAACGTCAAGGTGAGTCTTTGGCAGAGGCGTGCCCGTCTCTGGTTTATGTTTTCACATGTTGAAGTGCTTGGGTGGAAGCCAGGAGCCTGGACCAGTTTAATGGTCTAGGTGAGAAGTGGCTTGGTCCAGGGTGGTCACAGTGGATGGAGGGAGAAGAGATGGCTTCAGGGTCTATTTTGAAGGCAAGGAGTCCTCTCCCTGAGGAGAGAAAGAAAATAATCATGTGTGACTCTAAGGTTTTTGTCCTGAGCAACTGGTGAATAGACTTGCCGTTACTGATAAGGGGACACTGGGACGGAGGATCTGAGCGGCCTCCAGGGCTCAGCATGGACATGATCAGCTTGAGCTGCCGGCTAGCTTTCCAAGTGCCGTGCTGAGTAAGCGGTTCAGACCTGGAGTTTAGAGGCAACGTGAGGACAGGAACAAGGCAGCTCTCAGCGTGTGAATGCTGCTGGCGCCCAGGGGGCCGTGTGAGACCACTCAGAGATGGAGTGTCCTTAGCGATGGAGAGGAGCTGCAAGGACAAGGCCCCTGGGACTCAGATCAGGCAGAAACGGAAGAGGGGGAAGGGCTGCCACGCACACTGAGGAGTTGTCAGTGAAGTAGGAGGAACACCCAGCAGTGCCATGTTCTGGAAGCGAAGCAAATAAAGCTGTTTCAACTAGAGAGTGATCATTTTCCAGTGTGTGTACACAACTAGCGATCATATGCTGTACGCCTGAAACGGACATAATGCTATATGTCCGTTACCTCCATTTAAAAAAAAAAAGAACAACGATCAACCCTGTTCTAATGGATATTCTGAAAAAGGTTTCAAAGTAAGGTCTTTACCTTGGAACAGAAGTATGTGATTCCTAGAAATTGCTATGTTAAGAAAATGGTACAGGGAGTAATTTGGAGGAGGGATTCTAGAAGAGAGTAGGGAAGAACAGGCTCTCATCTTTTTTTTTTCCCTGTTTATATTGCGTGTCAGTGCTTTCCCATCGGCTCAGCGCTGGTCTTGGAAGTCTCAGTGTTCCTGTGGGTGTTTCACGAGAACAGAAACATGAGAGTGAGGCATGGCCCTCGGCCCTCAGTGTATATAACCCCCGAGCTGCTCAGCATGTTCGTTCGCAGTGTGCTGGTTCTGATGCTGCTCTCAGGACAGACCTTCCCCTTCACTGCCTGTGGGGAGAAAACACCAAACAGCTACAGGTCTTTGATGTTAATGACTCTTCACATGTAGCCCTCATCTAAAGCGAGGTCAGGACTTCTCCTAATGAATGTATATTGTCTCCTCCAGCTCAGTTCTAGAGGATTAAAGCATTAATAGTTTGTGGAACTAGGGTTAATTGCAATCCTCAGTTCATGCGGAAGAATCCCAGTCCGTTTTCCTGCGTTGTAGCATTTATTCATTCATTCTGGAGACGGGGTTTTGCCCGGCGTCTCCGCGCTTGGGGAGTCTAATATATGCCTCGGGAAAGCATCTCCGGCCTTTCCAGGAAGGGTGTGCTCTCATCCCTGGCATCAAGTTTTGTTTGACTTGGAGCTCATTGTCAAAGCCCAGGGCACAGAGACAAAGAAGCCCCTTAGACCAGTGATGGTGAACCTTTTGAGCTCGGCGTGTCAGCATTTTGAAAAACCCTAACTTAACTCTGGTGCCGTGTCACATATAGAAAAGTTTTGATATTTGCAACCACACTAAAACAAAGATTATATTTTTGATATTTATTTTATATATTTAAATGCCATTTAACAAAGAAAAATCAACCAAAAAAATGAGTTCGCGTGTCACCTCTCACACGCGTGTCATAGGTTCGCCATCACTGCCTTAGACAATGGGGCTGCGCGTGAGGTTTGTGCCAATGAAGGGAAACTGCTGCGGTATGTCCATCTCTATGTGAACTGAAAGGCAAGGGCATGAACCCGAGGAGACTCTGGACCTGGAGCCAAAGGGTCTGGTTTGTCACCACCTTCTTGGGGACCTGGGTGAATGACTTGGCCTCTGTGATCTCAGTTTTTTGCACCTGTAAACCAGGAAGAATAGGAGCTCCTTTGTCTCCATCACCTGTTTATCATGGAGATCACCATGGGACGTTATCATGAGGTTACAAAACAAGGAGCACTTAACTGGCCCCTACTGGGGTCAGACACTGCTCCCAGGATTTAAAATAGTAACTCGTTTATCCCCCCCCCGCCACCAATCCATGAGATCATCATTATTACCATACTAGAGGCCCAGTGCACAAAATTCGTGCAAGAGTAGGCCTTCCTTCCCCCAGCTGCCAGCACCAGCTTCCCTCCAGCACCCGGAACACAAGGGGACCCAGGCTGGCTTCCCTCGGACCGCCTGCAGGCACCTGGAAACTGGGCTGGCTTCCTCTGGCCCTGGCTTCGTCAGAAAAAACATCTGAAATGACATCCAGTCTAATTAGCATATTACCCTTTCATTATTATAGATAGTTCTCAATTTACAGATGAGGAATCTGAGGCAGAGAGAGGCTAGGTAACGTCCCAAGATCACACAGCTAGTAGGTGGTAGCCAGGACCTGAAGTCAGTAATGATATTTAATGGTGTGTGTGTGTTTTTTAAATTTTACCACCTATTTCTCTATAAAATACAGTAGTCTCAAAAAACGCAGTGGTAATGTACTTTCACTTTTATTTACCTACAATATAAATTCTTATATGTTTTAGGCGTTTGAGAAATACATAGTTTGGCTGAAGAGTGGTATTTTTTACAAAGTAGACATGGGATTTGGGAGTCACTCAGTCCTAGGACTGTCTGGGTATCTGTAGGGTCACTCACCTGACTCCTTTAACTTAGTGTCATCACCGTAAACCATTGACCAATTCCATGGGCAGCCAGCTGGACCAGCTATAGTTAGATTGACAGGTGGGCCTGTTTGGTCAAAAGGTTAAATTACTTTGCAGGGATAATAGCACATGTTTGGATGCATATTATTCTTAATTAGGTCATCAAATGCTCCTGAGTGGGATAGCCACAGGATCTGATAACTTACAAGTCAGACAAGTTGTGCATGTACCCTAACCGGGAATTGAACTGTGACCTCCTGGTTCAGAGGTCGACCCTCAACCACTAAGCCACGCTGGCCAGGCTGACTCACCTTGTTTTGTCACCTGCCTGGGCCGCTGGCATAAGAACTTGTAACACTTGTCTTTTTGCATCTCTTGATCCCAATTTCAACGTCTTTGTACTTTGGACCACTCCAAGCCTTTTGTACACCAAGGTCGTACTGGATAAATACATCCATCTAAAAGGAAAAAAAGGATTTTCTCCCGATTTATTCCACTTCTTTTAAACAAATGCCTTGTGATTCCCTCAGTCAGCCATGGTTCCTGTGGTTATCTGGTCAAAATAATACAGGATGTTTATCTACGTTAGTGAGTGAGACTTGGAATGAGGTTCAGAAGACCTGAGTTCTGCTCTCACTTTCTGCCAGGACCAGCGCTGAGCAATTTATGTAACTTCTCAGGGCCGCCTTCACTTTTTAATCTACAGCCTGAGGACTTGACCTCAGTGACCTCTGGGGGTCCTGTAAGTGTGGACACTGTGATTCTGTCAGTCTTTGGGCTCATGCAGGCAGACACGCTGACTGCAGTCTCCTTCTCATCCTGCCGGGGGCACCAGGCGTGTGGCTGCCGAGCTGGGGGACAGCTGGGATTTCGGGAGCACGGGTTCAGTACTTGTTTCTTACTAAGCCTTGTGTTCTTATGGACATTGTCAGCCCCTGGCACACAAAGACGCACTGTCCCCGCTTGTCTTGGATAAAATTCCTAAAGGTCCAAAATCTTCTGAGTGAGCTTGTGGTACCGATTGTATCTCCACTCACTGGAGACAGCATTTAAACAGTAGATTCAAACTGAACACTGAACGCCCTGCGATTACAAAGGCAGGCACCAGGCCCTGCGAGTGGCTTCCGTCCTGCCATTCCATGTGACCCCTTAGAGAAATACTAGTAGATTCCCTTTCGGTCATTCATTGTCTTAAAAACTAAAGAATGAACCAAGAAAATAGTGATTATTGCTGAAAACAATGTTGATATATGAGGAGTGGGGTATTAAAAAGTGATCTGGCCTGGCCGGTGTGGCTCAGTGGTTGAACCAGGAGGTCACAGTTCGATTCTGGTCACGGGCAAATGCCCGGGCTGCGGGCTCAATCCCCAGTAGGGGGCATGTAGGAGGCAGCTGATCAATCATTCTCTCATCATTGATATTTCTCTCTCTCTCTCCCTCTCCTTTCCTCTCTGATATCAATAAAAACATATGTTTGTTTTGTAAGGTGATCTGTCTTCGTGTTAAATACTCTGGGTGTGTTACTCCTACAGCCCATTGTTCTCTCCTCACATTTGTACTAGTTACCGGCCAACACCCTCCGAAGAACAAGCGTCCAAAGGAGCCAGGAGAGAACAGAATCAAGCCCACCAACAAAAAGGTGAAGCCCAAGATTCCCAAGACAAAGGACAGGGACTCGGCTGATGACTCAGCGCCAAAGAATCAGTCTATCATGGTGCAGATGACGGAGAAAGGGCGCTTCCAGAAGCCCGCTGCCACCCTGAGCCTGGCGGCGGGGCAGACCCTGGAGCTCCGGTGTAAAGGGAATAAAATTGGATGGAGCTACCCCCCATACCTGGACACCTTCAAGGACTCCCGCCTCAGGTGAGCATGCGGATATCTTTTATTTTACTTACACTGGGTCAAGGGTTTGTTTCTTCCCCTCAGTAAATATTGTATTGTTTCTGACATTGATCATTTCACTCTACCAGCTTATAAAAATGGATGCTCAATGGGCAAAAGACATTGAATTTATTTCTTTGACCAGTTACTAAAAAATTATTGCAAATCCTATGAGCGGTGGTTAAAACAATGACATTTTATAGGAAGCTATAAGACAAATAATTGAAACTGTGATGCATCGAGGTATTTAAGAATGCAGATTGTAAAAAATGATGGATCCGATGCTGTATGTTACTTTTTTTCAATCATAATGAAAACGGAAATGAGCTGACAGGACATTCCTAAGAGCAAGTTGACTGCATGTTCAACACAAAGTCATATGTCTGCACAAACCCCACCTCCAGTCTGCATCTCCCGCAAGGACACCCCCATCCACTCAGCTGCTCTGCCAGAAACCTGGGGAGCATCCTTGCCTTGTCCTCTCCCATCACTCCCCACATCCAGTCAACCACCACGTTCAGCCAATTCAGCTTCCTCAGAGCCATAAACCTGTCCTCTTTCCATCTCTGGTGTCACTGCCCCAGTCCCAGTGGGTGTCATCCCTCCCCACCAAGCCCTGGTGTGTCCTCCCCCAACTCCTCGCTGCAGCTAAAGTGATGTTTAAAAAGTGCTCATCTGGTCCTATCACTCCCCTACTCATCACTGGGCAGGTTTCCACTGGGGCTGGAGTCCGACACCCTCACATGACTGCTGAGACCCTCCCTGCTCTCCGCAGTCTCTCACCAGTCACCTCTCGCCTCTCGATTCGTGTCTCTGCTCTCGCTGGCTGGGCTCCTGGGACATCATCAAATGCTTCAAGCGCTCGGGGCCTTAAAACTTGGCTGTGCCCACTCTCAGCCCCTGTTCACCGGCCAACTTCAGCCTCAGAGTCACTTTCTCTGGGCAGCCTGTGTCAGGCCTCCCTACGTTTATTCCCATGGCCCCTGGCATCCTCTTCTGAGAACTCTTTATCTTTATACCTGCTTCTTCTTCTTTAGTTTTCTAATCTGTGTTTTTCACTGGGACTTAGCTAAGTGCTTGGCCTTTAGCTTTATCTGTTGAATGATGGAATGACAATCTTTCCTCCCTCTTTCTCACACATATACACCTTGGAGAATAAATAAATTAAAATATATGTATAAGTAATATCTCTCTATCTAACCTCTGGCATTAAGACCTCTTTTACATTTTATTCTGAAGTTACTCTTCTGGCTTCATGGCGTATAATAGTGTAGGGTTTTTCTTAAGGGATATTTGGTTGGAGGAGTGGAGGGTGAAAGAATGAAACGGATTTTCCCGTTTTGATCTCCACTCTTGAAATAAACACATGGTGAGTGTGTGTGTGTGTGTGTGTATATGTGTCCCTGTTCGTCCGTCCCCTTAGAACAAATCTGGAACTATTTATTCCCACAAACTTTTTAAGTGTCTTAATTTACCAAAGTCAAGATTTACACACTTAAAAAAAAAAAACAGATGGAGTCATTTGAAATTACTCAGAACATTTAGTCTTTGACTTACACAAAGTTCCTAAACCTAGATGACTTGGCCCTTAAAGACTTAATAGGAGTAGCTTCAAAGTTATGTTAGCCAAAATATGTTTGAAAAATAGCTTAAGGACTCAAAGTAAAGTGAACATGAATCTGAATGGAAAAGAAATATCCACTAGCTGAAGAAGCCAATTTCGACTTAACATTAAGTAGCATTCATTCAAAGCACAGTTAGGGCTTTATAAGAAAGTAAAGACAGATGTGGGCCCCCAAGGACTCCACAAAAAAAAAATGTGGAAAATATGAAAAACACCTAGTCATAACTCTCTATCAAACAACAACCAAAAAAAAATCACAATTTATTTGACACCAGAGATTCAACAAATCGACTCTTGACATCTTTCCCGGAACGCGGGGCCTTTGGGTAGAAGAGAAGCATTCATTCGGTGTTTTCCTTTCCCGTGGAATGAGTTCTTTCCGTCGTTCTCACAGGTTTGGGGTTGGAGGCTCTCCTCAGTGGTTTTGAGCCATTTTGGTAGCTTTCTGGAATGAAGTTCACATGCTGCCATATTTGTCCAAATGGGATCCTCTGACCATAAGAGGGAGTGTGTTATGGACCAGAGAGGTCAGGCTGATGCACAGCCAGATTGCAATCCTGTCTTTACCACTAACCAGCAGAGTGGTCTTTGATCAGTAATTTCCTTGGAACCCTGTTTCCTCATCTGGAGATAATAGTACTTATGGTAGGTGCTGCCTGGCCCCTGGTAAATGTTCAGTAAATTATGACTAATGGTTACTAGGCAACGCATATTTCTCAAGCACAGGGATCCAAAAAACCTTTTGGGATATTTCATTCTGACCAGCACTCACATTATGCACAGCTAGAGGATCCAAGAAAGTGTGTACACTTCTCTCCCACTTTCCCTTAATTGATCAATTCTTTGTCATCTGGGACCTGTGTCCATCTTCCCCCTGAAAGTGTCAGCCCCTCTCTAGCCAGTTTGGCTCCATGGATAGAGCGTCGGCCTGGGAACTGGAGGGTCTCGAGTTCAATTCCGGTCAAGGGCACATGCCTGGGTTGCAGGCTTGATCCCCAGTAGGAGGTATGCAGGAGGCAGCAGATCAATGATTCTCTCTCATCATTGATGTTTCTATCTCTCCCTCTCCCTTCCTTTCTGAAATCAATAAAAAATGTATATTAAAAGAAAAAAATGAAAGCGTACGCCCCATGAGGGCAAATACCACATCTGCTTGGTTCCTGGTCAGATTCCTAGCACCTGGAACAGTGCCCGGCACAAAGCAGAACTCAGGAAATGGTTTCCTGGTTTCCTCAGGGGTTTATGACCTTGTCGGAAGTCAGTTCCTAGTCACGCAGGCCTTCATTTATTCAGCATTTACAGATGACTACACTTAGCGACACTGCTTATTGGAACGTGCGAGCATTTATATCCAGGGCGCTGTGTCACCTGGATCCATCCCTGTTATCTCGGAGTCTGTTGTTACTTGGCCTCCTGGAGCCATTCATCCGTCAGTTGACCCTCTTTACCCATCCTGACCCCTGTCTTCACTTCTCTCCCTCTTTCTATCCTAAACTCTTGAACACGTCTTAGGTAAGTGACTTTGCCCCCTGTTTTCCTTCCTGTCCAGCCCCGAACGAACCTGTTTACCTGCTTCCTCTGGTGGCACATGGACACGGAGCGCTGCTAAGGAAACCCGGCGGCTGGCCGGACGGGGGCTGTTGGTTCCTGGTCACCTCACTTGTGCCTGGCAAAGCAGAAGACATTTCTCTGGGGAACTCACTTTTTTCCTCTTCTTAAATCTCTGCTCTCCATCGCTCTCACTCTCAGCGAATTAAATGACCACCTAATTTACTGAGAAATTGGGCCCCTAGAATTGCCTCACCTTCCTTATTGCATCTCTTTCTTCCCTGCTCTCACAGCTTTAGTGGAGAAAGAGTTTGTCCACTCGACCCAGGCCAAAGTGTCATCTGTGCTCTGGATCTGGTCCTTACAATCTTTCTCAGGAGCCTCAAGACATCAGGTATTGCTTCGCTATTCTGGCTCATCATGCTCCCCTTCTCAAGGGGATTCTCTCCATAAATCTTCTTCATCGTAGGAAACCCCAGCTCAGTCCCCACTACCCTCCGGCCACCTTCCTCTCTCTCTTCTTACCTTCACAGCCAGACCCCTTGGAGGAGTCTCCCTCTACTTTCATCGTCTTATTTCCCTCTCCTAGCCACTCTTCAACTACCGCACCTGGCGCCTGCCCCTGCTCCACATGCATTTATCACCAAGGTCAAGGTCACTAAATCCAGAGTTCACTTTTCCGTTCCCTATGGCTGTTCCAGTAGGTCCATCCGCAGACGGGAGCCCTCTCCTCTTGGCTTGCACAACGCCGTATTCTTCTGGTTTTCTTTCTGCCTCGCCGGCCTCTCCTCTCGGTATCCTTCCCCGGCTTCACATCCTCTGCTGTTCCTGCTGTTAAATGTTGGTTCTGTGCCTTCTTCTCTCCTCACTGCCTGCTGCCAGATGCCCTTCATCTGCCGTATGTTAGATTACATGTTTCTTCTAGGCTCTAGATTGAACTCTCCAACTGCCTGCTCACCCGCCTGGACCCTTCAGGAGCCGTTCTCTAGATGAAACCACCTAACACTGAGCTCTTGGTCTTCTGCACACCTGGTCCTCCTCCTGTGGCCTTTAGCTGATGACTGGCACTAATTGCACCCAGTTGTCCTTGACCAGCGGCCTGGGATTCACCTTGAAATCATCTTGGACACTTCCCTTTACATCCAATCAGCCCCCAGGCCCTAATGGAGCTACTGTTTAACTCTTTCTTGAATCTCCCCACTTCTTTCCACCACAGCAGCAAAAACCCGAGTCTCTCACTTACAGTAATAGTCACATGACTGCCTCCCTGCACCCAAACCCTAACCTGATCTCAGTCTTCCACGGAGCACTCAGATCTTCCACAGAGCGCATCTGGTCCTGTCATTTTCCTGCCTCTAACCCTTCAGTGGAGCAATTCTGCTGCCCTTAGAATAAAGTTCAAACTCCTGGCATGGCCCATAAGGCCATGCACAGTCCGGCCCCTGCCTTTGCCTTCTGCCCCATTCATTTCAACACACGGGGATTACAGCTCTCCACCTGCAGATCCCTGCCCGCCACAGCCTTAGTGAGAGCTCCTTGCTCTCGGACCTCACTTCACCGGCCCCCGTTACACATCCTCACTGCGCACCGGTCGCCAATGGTGCCGTTACCGTGTCCTCCCTCGCTGATGTTGGTGTCCCTCTGTAGGCTGGAAGCTTGGCAGAGGTGTCTGTTTATGCATTGGCGCTTCCCCAGCACCCAGCACGCTGCAGCTTCTCCACTGGTGTTTCAGGGAGAGAATGGTGCTGGGCCCCTGAGCCTAGAGTTGGTCTTAAGTCAGGGCCCTGTGATCATGAGTCCTGTGTCTCCG